CATAAATCAGTTAAATGACGAAAATTAGGTGACTATTTACTTGTGACCACTCAGTGTATAGTAATTGAAATGTGTCTGTATTTTACAAAATACTGGTCTACTAAAACACAGCCAAGACAGGTCACTTTGTAAAGACTAAAGGTCAGTTTTATATTATTGGATATGGTAACATGAGTGCACGTGGCTGAAAAGTCAATATAATAAAAATAATAATAAATATATATATAAATGTATAATGTTATGAGATTATAACAGTAATCAATATGATAGTTGTTATTAATTGACGAAATGGACTAAAGCTTATTCACTCTTCATTTTAGTTCAGACTGTTACTGGTAAGAGGTAAACAGGGGATATACTGTACCTGGAAAAATTTACGTGATTCAAGGAGCAAACTTTTAATAGTCTGCTGTTTGTGGGTTGTATCAAGCACTGGATGTAAAGAAGTATTTTCCACCATATCTCCAGTCTGGTGATATGGTTAAACAAGTTGTACTGTTGATATACAAGACTATTCAGTTTAAAAGTTATTATTTAGTTGATTTAGTGATTTAATATTTAATGGTTATTTAGTTTTTACAACAAGAGTGTTAAAAGTTAAGTATGTCACAATCTCTGAAAGTACACTTTCAGTCATGCATGTCATATGAATAATTAATGTGGCAGGGATAAAGAAATACATAACATAAACTGTTTTAACACCATAACTTTACTAAGGAATGATAAAAATGTGAAACTTTGCAAATTGACTTCAATGTTAACAAGCTATGGAAATGGAATGAAAACAAACTAGACTTTTATTTTTAATCACTTACTACAGGTTCATTAGTAAAGATTTTAAGACAAAAATGAGTTATTTATGTAGCAAAGTGCTTAAACTTTTGACTTAGGCTGAATTTCAAAAATGTGATTTTTGAAATATTGAGGGCATTCTTTAAGGGTCAGTGCTACTTTAATTGTTTCTCATTGAAGTTGTGATATTTTTGAAATAACATTATTACAATTATCAGTGATAGTAAAATGTGCTTTAATTGTTTGGTTATCAATTTGATTTACACAAGATGAATGGTTGATTATTATATATTTTAAAAACAAAAAAATGATGAATGCTTGGTAGTCTTGACATTAGGGATTTGACAAGAAGGAAATGTTCAGCTTAAGACACTTCTAAAATAACAATACATATATTAGTAATTATACAAAAATACAGCATACAATATCAAATATATATGTAATCTGTTAGGTATGGAATGAAACCGATATAAAAATAAAGTTTAAAAATTACTAAATTGCTAAGAATGACATGTATCCAGTATGACATAGACTGTGAACCTAATATGTATATAGTTCTTTATATTTGTTAATATGTTTGAAAAATCTTTGTCTTTTTCTGTATTTTGCAAAAAGAATGCTTTTATTTTTAACTTATAAAGTTAACTATCCTTGGAAATTACCTTTATAAGCTTGTTAAAATTTATAGGATTAAGCTTTGGAAGTCTGGATTTAGGTTTGCTCTTAAGACAATATTATTGGTGAGAGCTATAAAACTGTGTAATGGTTTGCCTGATTGTGTGGCATCACTGGTGTGTGATGTGAAATTGAATTTTTTTAAAGTTTGTTGAATAGATAAGTAGATGTGAAGGGCTTTAAGTTGGTTTAAAAAGTAGAAGAAATATATTTGTATTATTATTATTATTACTTAATATTTTATTTATTTGAAGGGTGACCTCAACTGGCATTTTACCACCTTTTTTTTTCTTATGTTTCAAAAGTTAGAAATACATCTGTTGAATCTGATTACATATATAATTACATTAAGTTTATTTAGAATGATAATTAGTATTTTGTTTACGTAAAAAGAGTGATGGCATATTTATTTGTTGTTAACATATGAAATGATATGTAAGACTTAAAAAAGAATAAATTTATGCTGTATTTAACAGATTGTTATTACATACATTCTGTAAATTATTTTTTTGTGGGAAACATTGGGGAAATGCTGTTTAAAAATGTTCCTCTTGTGGCTTAGAAATGATCTTTTTTTCAACTGGAAAAATGAGCTTAAATTTTATTATTTGCATAGAATATGTTTAATATTTAGCTTACTAGCAGAAATACAAATGACACTGGTCTTGTATTTGTAGGTTAGTGTTTACGCCAGTAGGAATTTATTTGGGATTAAAAGCAACCAGACCTAAAAGAGCTCCTGAAAATCCCGTCCTAGAAAAAGCTTTCAAGGCTAATGGGCGAATACCATTCAAACAGGTAAGATTAGATAATTGTAATGGATGTATAGGTCCATTAACCCTCTCACTATGGACAGATCACAGGGTACAGGTCACAACGTTTTATAGAGTTCTTTTCAAAATTTAAACACTTTATTATCATTGTATGTTAATATTAAAATTGGCACCACAACATAAGTTATAATTCAAATTTTTAATATATATATATATATATATATATATATATATTGGTATATAGTATAATATGTTTTAAAAAGAAAAATATTTAAAAAATGCTCAATATGTTTTTTGTGTGTCATATGACATGTCATATTGCTCAGTTTATATTTGATTATGCCTATCATGCAGTGTCTGTAGTGGTTAACAAATTAGAAACTCAAATTTCTGACATGTACAAAGTGTAATATAAAATAAGACTCCCACCTGTTTGGTATGCTGAGATTTCAATATATTTTGCAAACCTACCAGGATAACCAATATTTTGGTTTTCTGAAATGTACCTTTCATATCTATAAAAAACTAATTTGTATTCCTCCTTCACCTGAGCAAATTAATCAGGCTTAAGCCGATGAGTGAGTATAAATCAATTTTTTAACATCATAGTACTAAAAATCATTATTTTTCAATTTATATTTTATTTATTGTTCTATATTTTAAGAAAAATAACTAAAAATTATCAATTTTAGTAAATAGTAATCTAATATACAAAGCTAAGTTGTTGTCTTTGTTTGCACCTTTGAGCCCCTATAATAGTAGGACTATAAAGATATGGAATCAGTGTACTTGGCTTTAATGCCTGTGACATAACATTTTTAGTGTCAGTGAAAACTTTGTAATCTAATTTTTTCCTCAGAAGATGGACAGGATTTTTGGTCTGATTTAAATGGAAATGACATTAGAAAAATTTGTGTATTTTATCGAGAGGTGTTCTACTGTTGTGGTGTCAGAATAAAAATCCATCAAATGCTGTCATGTCATGTGTACTGACAAACAAGACTAACTTTTTTATAAAATGGACAAGTTGAACTTGCAAAATTCTGCAAAAATAAGTGGGTTTCTATTCACTTTATTTTGGGAGGGGAGTTGGGTATGATAAAGATTTCATACACAAAGAATGACATTATTTTAATTAAATATTTGTACTAAAAATATGTTATTTATCTATTGTAATTAATTGCACTCAAACTCTTGATAGTTTGTGTGCAAGGTTATTTTCATTTTAAGTTTAAAAATACTTTTCTTCATCTTACAGTTTTGGAGTTTTATTTGCATAACCTCTAGAACCTCCTAAATGAATATCAAATTTTTTTAAATTTAAATGTTTAAATTTAATTTTTCATTTGCTCTACCATATCACTAACTATAGATATCATTAACATTCAGTGCAATGAAATGATTAAAATTAAGAAACAGAAAAAGTGTACATACCTTTTTTTGTATAATATCTTAAAAGATCTTTTGGTTATACTTGTAATTTCATGTCTTTTCCTTTTCACATATAGTTAATTTTTAATGTTTTATTTTCCTGTCCTTTACCTTTTATTACTCATTTCGGCAAAAGTCAACAGTGCCCTTGGGGCATAATTACAATATCTTCAGCAGAGATGCACAAGCCTTCAGCAAAATTCTCTTACTATCATGCAATATCTTAAGCCTTGAGAACTAATGCAAAGTGTGATGTATATTTAATAAAATATTTAAACCTTTCAATTATACATTTTAAATCTAAATAATACATAATTAACTAAGATATAAAAGTAAGACCTAAATACATTTTAACTGTCTCTCTAACTATAACATATTTAGCTAAGAAAAAGTGCTATTGGGGATCAAGCAATCGACAATACTAAAGGCAGTTACATCTATCAGATGACAAAAATTGACAACCAATTTCAAAATAACTTTTGGTGGATTATAATGTAAAATGAACTCTTTCTAATGACTATACTTGTATATCTAGCAACTACATGTATGTTATATAGCTCAAGCAAAAGTATAGAAAGTGGGCATAACACCTGTTGTGGTTGACAATATTTATTACTTGTTTCTAATCCATTTAGCCAGAGAACTTTGAAACTTGTGTGTCAATAAGGTAAGTAAGCAAACTTAATTGTCTAGGCATACATCTACAGGACTGGTGTTATCTGAGTCAAGATAGAAAGTTGAAATTCTTCTTAGATTGTGGGTCACACATGACAAAACCCAAAGTTTTAAATATATTTGTTAAAGTTTTTTTGGAAATATAATAATTTAAAACTTATGTAACATAAAACTTTGAATCTTAACATACATTATAATGTTAAATTTCATTCACACACATTGATAATAAAGGTGTTTGATTAAATTTTGAATGCAACTCGGTGACTTGTACAGAAAAGTGTTTAAAGGGGTACCCAGGGTAGAAGTATTAAAAGAATTAGTATGTTAATAATATAAAACAATTCAATGGAACATTAAAGGCGTTGTTTTATTTTAGTAAGATGTCAACCTTTGATTATATTAATACAGGAAAAAATTTTACACACTTGCATCTACTTCACCTGATAAAGTCAAATTCAAGTGTTCCAAAATAGTTTTTGAGTTAATCATATCAAACCAGACTTGCTGTGGAAAGCAAACTATAAACCTACTACTGTCTAATAAATCCTTAACCAAAACTTTTTTGTATTTTGATGATTCTTCAGTTTTCTTTTCTGGTATCACAGGTTCAAGGCTTAGCAAAGCAGCTTGATTGGTCTGGGAGAAAGGTTGAGAGATGGCTTAGACAGCGAACTGTTCAAGAGAAACCACTTACTCTTACGAAGTTCACAGAAAGTTCGTAAGTTCTTGCTGATAAACCAAATTTTCTGTATACTTTTATTCCAGTTAATGATATAGTAATGTGAATTACTGGAGTTGTACAACTCTCATTATAGAAACTAGTGTTTTTAACATTTAGATTATGGTTGCATCTGGATAGTTGAAATGATAGGAATATTTATTCAAAAAGGTGGATTAGAAGTGTTATTTTTCTATGCAATTTTCGATTATTTTTGCATGTAAAATAAAATAAGCAGAAATTCAGAAAATGTCTCAATCAAACTTTCATAATATATTCTTCCTCAGATCATTTTAATAATGAATTTACATGGTATTGTAAGACATGAAAATGAGTAGGATTTAAAAACCGTTGTTATTTTCACTTTTTTTATATGTTATTGTATCAAATCCTTTTTAGATCTTGATTCACTTCTAATAGTGCACTTTGCATCATCCATCCATTGAACTTCTCTCAGATTATGCTTAGTTTAGTTTTCTGTATAAAATAACTTTATTTTTATTACATTTTATTATTTATTTTCTGCATCAGAATGTGACATTTTTATGAATGTAATGATTTCAAATGTTTAGTTCAAATACAAAACAAACCGTTCTTCATAACAAGTTTTAAACTATAAAAATTATACCATTTGACAACAAAGTATAAAATAATTGTTTAAAATGTATGTGGTTGTAGCACCCAAAGTGTTCGGGATATTCTTTCTACCAAACATAATCCAAAAAATGCAAATGAATAATGAGATAGCTGTCATGGAAGATCAGCCTAAAGAGCTTAAGATTTTAAAAGTAACATCTTAGTATAAATTTTGTCAATAGACACCCAACCTCTACCCTTTAGACAATTATTATGAAGTAGAAAGAACTATAAACTGTTACCAAAATAGTTCAGTAAGAATTGAGCACCCATCTTCCTCATTTATATATGTAATATAATATATGTGGTCATAGAACTCAAACGTGTTGGGGATATTCCATCTATCAGCGAGATCCCTATGCCGATGTAAAACTCACTACTATCTAAAGTTGGGAGTTGAGTGCTTGAATCTCCAACATTTCAACTCCTGCTGCCCTTTGCTGTTTGCACCCAGTTGTGGGAAAGCAGATACTCTTAATATTAAGATATAATTTCAACCACAGACATTATCCATTATGACTTGAGGATGACAACAAGGAATGGTAATGGCAGAATTATTTTGAATTTTAGTCTCATTATAATATTGTTTTTGTTTTGTATTAAGTTTATTATTGTTTTATTGTGCTGATTTTAATCACCTTTGGACAATTAATGTATTTCTTAGTATTAGATATATTAATTTATTTATATATATATCTTTACAAGGTTTTTCAAAAATTAGTATACAGTTTGGTTGAGATTATACAGTGGTTACTGAAGAAAATGTTAGGACAAAAATTGAAAACAATTTGATTATTATTTGTTTTGAATCATGCATTAGAAATTAAACTATTAATATAAATGAAACAACTCTATAGTCACTTTTACCCCTACACACAAACACATATTACTTGTATACATACCAGGTGATTTATAAAAAAAATAACCGTATAACTAAAATGATTGTATGTTTAAAATACTTGTCCAGGGAAAATTAATTTTCACTAGAATCTTGTTGAGGATCATGAATTTTATTGATGAAAGTTTGAACTTGGTACAGATTGTGTCAAAAGCTTTCACATTTAAAGTTCTGTATGCTTTCCATCTTTTTCATTGAACATATTAAAACTATCCCTTAAATAAAGCTTCTGCAAGCATCTGTTATGGGACAGTGTTTATTGATTCCCAAAATATTCTGCATACTGATGCACATTTTATTCAAGTCATTAATCTTGTATTGTTGAAAAGAGAGGAAGAGAAATAAAAGCATTGTTTGTTTACAAGAAAAGTGATTTTGGTGTGCATTGTGGTTTGAAACATTATATACCATACTCAAAATTTCCTTATGATTATATATAAATTTTCTATATGCCCCTGGCAAACTTTTATTTGTGTCTATGAATGTAGTTATAAATTATTATTAGTGTTTTTATGAATTAGACACAGGTGAAGTTTGTGTTATTGTCTAACTTTTGTTGAATTTTATTAGGTTGCAGGAACAATATAAGTAGGTTAATATAATGCTTCTTATAAGGAAGATAATTACGAGTTTATGATATATAGTTTGTTACAATAAAACTGTGTATTTATGTTCAAATATTACATTATGTATGTATAGCACTTCACAAACAAACTCAATAAAATTTCAGCTTTTCTGAACTTTTTTTTTGTATCCTACAGTTTGTACGATAGATTTGTTCTTAGTACCTATACATTTTGATTTAAAAGTTGTTTTGGTAGACTTTAGAATAAAATGTAATCACAAACATTGCCTAAGCTAATATTTTTCTAGAATGTAGAAATAATAAAAGCTTATAAATTTTCATGTATGAGAAGCTCAATTATATAAATGGTTAAGTGTATCTGTGACAATAGAATATGTTCTCTGTGATTTAATCTACAATCGAGAGAGTTACCCAGAACTAAAGATAGTAGTTAGTACTATTGTTTTTAACACATATTTTACAGAATTGTGTTCTTGAGCCTTAAACAATTTGTTACACACATAAACTAAACTAGGCCATTTATTATTCAGTTAATGATGTGTTCAATACACCAATGTGTGTATGATTTTTTGTTTTTCTTTTTTTCAGATGGAGATTTACTTTTTACTTTTCTGCCTTCTTGTATGGGTTGTATACACTCTCTGATGTAAGTCTTCATCATTGTATTGGACAAAGAATTCTTTGTTAATTTATGTGTGTGTATAAAGATTTAAGTTTCTGATTTTATTGTTTATTATTTTGATCCCTGGTAGCTGTTTGCATATTCAAATTGTTATTGGATAGATTGTTAGATGGTTTTACTGCATTTAGTGCAATGTAAATTTTTAAGATATTGTATTAAAATGTTTAAACATTTGGATTAAGGAGTTAATGAGGGACTAAAGCTTGATTGCAGTTTCTCAACAGTTTTTAACCAAGGCTCAAAATTAACGCTGGCAAATATCAGTTTTGGCAGTAAAGCTTAGAAGGTACTAGAAAATAATTGCTAGTACATACTTGAGAAGGAAGATTTGCAGATCAAGGTAAGTATCATAAATGGGAATAGCAAGATCACAGCTTCAAACTGTTTGATTGCCAAGGAAGTTAATATATTTATCAGCTGGTTGGATTCAATCTATCTGGTATGGTTAGAAATATTGTGCCAAAGTAATTATCCTTTGGAGGTAATAATAAAATAAATTATGAAAACTGCAGAAGTTTTCTTACACATTCATCTAAGTTTGTCCATTTCTAATATTATTGACCTGTAATGTCCTGCCAGCTTTCAATCTTTAAACTATATAACTTTTAATAATATAATTCTATTTTTAGTTTAGGGTTGCTGTAGTAAAGCAGTGTAGTAAACCATTTGGCCCATCAGTATCACCCTTTACAAACTATCCAAAGTAACCACTAAATCTAAAGGTAACTGTTTGCATCTACAGTGCCTTGCAAAAGTATTTACCCCTACCAATAATGCTACATTTTGATGATATACAAATAATGAACTTGTTTTATTGAAAACTCTAAGGATCAAACTTAATACTGTTATGTGTGAAGGAAGTTGAATGTCAGAAAAACTTCCACAGAAAATATATAAATTGAAATTTATTAATTGCGTATATATTCAGCACCCTAAATCAGTACTTGGTGGAAGCACCTTTTTTCAGCATTTACTGCTGCGTGTCTTTTTGGATTGGTCTCTACTAGCTTTGTACAATGGGATGGTGTATTTTTTTCCTATTCTTCTTGGCAAAATTGTTCCAATTCTGACAAGTTTGTTGGGGATCATTGATGGACTGCAATCTTTAAGTCTTGCTGTAAATTTTTTATTGGATTCAAGTCAGAACTTTGACTGGGCTACTCTAGGACATTCACTTTCTTCTTTTGAAACCACTCCAGTGAGGGTTTGGCCTTGTGCTTCTGGTTACTGTTCTGCTGAAATGTGAATTATCAACTCAGTTTTAGGTTCTTGGCTGACTCAAGTAAGTTCTCTAGGATTTGCCTGTACTTGGCATCATCTATTTTCCCCTCAATCTTGACAAGCTTCCTAGTTCTTGCTGATGAGAAGCACCTCCATAACATGGTGCTATCACCACCATGCTTGACAGTTGGGATGGTGTTGACTGAGTGATGTGCTGTGTTGGGCTTGTGCCTGACGTAATGCTTTGAATTTAGACCAAAAACTTAATTTTTGTCTCATGTGATCACAAAACTTGCCACATGTCTGCAGTATCATTTACGTGCTTTGTTGCAGACTCCATACAACATTTAAGATGATTCTTTTTCAGTAATGGCTTCTTTCTTGCCACTTGCTCATACAGGCCAGCTTTGTGTAGACACCCGGGAAATTGTCTGTATGAACACTGACTCTCATCTCAGACATGGAACTTGGAAATCTTTCAAAGTCACTGTTGGCTTTACAGTGGCATCCCTAATCAGTTTCCTGCTTGCCTGGCTGCTTAGGGCAGCCTGATTTGGGTCGTGAATGGGTGGTATAAGCACATTCCACTTCTTAATGAAGGACTTCACTATACTTACAGGGATAATCAGCAACTGTGACATATTCTTGTAACCATCTCCTGATCTGTGTTTTCTCTTAACATTTTATCCCAGACTTGTTTGGATAGCTCCTTGGTCTCCATGGTTGGTTTGTCATATCAGTATGTGAGTTGTGGCTTGAACAGATGCATTTACTCTGAAGTCAAGTTAAA